TCTCCCTCTAGTGACCCCTTATTGGCAGAACCTAATGAAACCACTGGCAAAGGAGAATGTGCAGAGTCAAAACCTCTGCATCCCTAAGCTGAGTAGAGAAGAGAGGATTTAAAGGTGAGAGATAACAGTGACTGTTCTGCGCAGTGAAAGTGAATAAGTGTCAGATGGAAAGTGGGCATTTGTGCAAAGGTGCATGTTTGTATTAATCAGAGACATACAAGCTAATCCTACCTCATGGAAATACTACTTTTGTTCAAGGATGGACAAATAAGCCAATGGAGGAGATTAGGTTCACAAATAGATGTGCACATATTTGGTTTTTTGATTTGCAATAAAGGTGCCATTGTCATTCAGTGGTGAAAAGATCATTTTTAAATAAGTGGCACTGGAGAAATTGGTATCTATTTAAGGAAAAAAATGAATCTTGAACTTGACCTTACACCACACATAAAAATTCACTTTGGGAGGCCGAGGCGGGTGGATCACAAGGTCAGCAGATCGGGACCATCCTGGTCAACATGGTGAAACCCCGTCTCTACTAAAAATACAAAAAATTAGCTGGGCACGGTGGTGCGTGCCTGTAATCCCAGCTACTCGGGAGGCTGAGGCAAGAGAATTGCCTGAACCCAGGAGGCGGAGGTTGCGGTGAGCCGAGATTGCGCCATTGCACTCCAGCCTGGGTAACAAGAGCGAAACTCCGTCTCAAAAAAAAAAAAAAAAAAAAATTAATTCAAAGTGGATCATGGATCTGAAGGTGAAAGGCAGAACAATAAAGCTTCCAGAATAGAACAAAGAAAAATGATCACGGAGGAGGCAAGATTTCTTAAACAAGACACAAAAACATTAAGCCATGAAAGAAAAAGGAAAAAGATGAATTGGGCTTTCTTAAAATTAGGAACTTCTGTTCATCCAAAGACATAGTTAAGGAAGTGAATTGAGTGAGCAAGCCACAGATTAGGGGAAGATATTTGTAATACATATACTTGACAAAGGAATCATATCCAGCAGATATATAGATATGTAAAAATTAACCACCTATAAATCAATAAGGATAAAACATATAAACCAATTAAAACCACAATGAGGGAAAAGTATAAACATAGTAGATTGAACACGAAGTGTAGGTGAGATTGTAGAGCAGCTGGAGCTCTCAGACATTGCTGATGGAAATATAAACAAAGTTTCCAAACAAAAGGGGTTCAACTTTGAAAAATGTTTGTTGATATCTATTAAATCTAAATGAACTTCTGTCTTCTATGTATGACCCAGCAGTTTTACTTTTAAGTATATATCCAAGAGAAATGAGTTCATGTATCTACGGAAAGGCACATGAAAGGTTGTACTTTGCTGCTTTAGTCATAATAGCCAAAAGCTAGAAATGCTGCAAGTGTCCAACAACAGCAAATGGTAGTGTATTCATAAAATGGAATATTACTCAGCAATAAAAAAGGAAAGAACTAACATTTACAATATATGGATAAATCTTAGAAGCATTCTGTTGGATAAGAGAAACCAGACACAAAAATTATATATACTATGTGATTCCACATACATAAAGTGAAAGGCAGGCAAATAAAATCAAGGATGATAAAAGTCAGAATAGTGATTATCACTGGGGTGAGTGAATGAGGAGGCATGAGGGAACTTTCTGGAGTGATAAAAATGTTCTATTTCTTGGTCTATGTGGTAGTTACATAGGTTACATACAGAAGTAAAAATTTAGCTGTGCAGTTAAGAATGCATACTTTACAACAAACAAGTTCTATCTTTAAAAGCAACCTGCAAAAGAAAAGAATATTTCTTTTGTTAGCATGTTCCTGGCTTAGCCCTTTAGGAAATCATAATTGTGCAAAGGAGTATTTGACTCTTTTCTGTTCCACTGAAGGCCTAGCATCACTGAAAACAAAACAAAACTAAACAAAGCAAAACAAAACAGAAATCATGGTATTAGGTTGATCTTTTTGTGTCCTGTGAAGAGTAGCATCAATTTCACATTGAATTCTTGTAATATTAGGGCTCTTTCTAATAGGAGACGGGGATGGCAAGTTTATTCATTACGCTTTTGCATATATAGAAAGATGAAAAAGACCTTATCTACAAAGATCTCAAAGCATGTGGAGGATGGAGGGCCCAGAGCACTTCAGAAGCATAGCAGGGAGTCAATGAAGCAGTACCTAGAGAAGAACTAAAGGATATGGGCGTGTAGTCAGGTAACCTGTACACAGAGAGCACTTGATAGGTGTTAGCTACTCTAATTCAAAGCTTAGGTTTTTGGTAATGCCAATAGCATCACTGAACAACTGGTGAAGAATGATCTGCATTTATTTTAATCTTTGGGCAAGCGCGTGCCTGTGTGTGGTGTACATTACAAGAAGAAGAGAATTATCTTTATATTAACCTAGTAATCCTTTTCTATTCCTTCTGCTGGACTTTTCGGTGATAAATAATAGCCTGCTTACATCCCTAACCCTTGTCAGCAAGGGGCTAGAGGAGAATCAAGTCCTTTTGTTGAAGACGTCATGGGCATTTTGCCATAGAAAGTCTGGTGCTCTAAGAAAAAGATGATTCTAACTAAAATATAATTAAAGAAGCAAGAGGAGTACAATGGCCATTATTTGGAAGTTGGGGGAAAGACTAAAGAGAGCGAATGAAGACTAATGGTACAATGCTATTCCAAAGCTGAGTTTCCAACATTGCCTGAATAATACATAAACCTGTAATTAAGATTTAAGATGATGCTTGTGGGAAATGTTCTTTTGGGCCAGAAGAATTTAATATTTCTTGTGGTCATTAAAAGCAAGATGATCAATCATGTTTTCACCCTCTGTTGGAAATAGGAGAGCAGTAACTTAAACCACAAAGAAAGTGCTGAGGTATTTAGGAGGAGGAACTGAAGCTGTGGGGTGGTGTTAGAATGATAGAAATTCCATCCTCACAGGAGTCTCGGTTAGTCCCACAGGTTGCAATACATGGCAAAACCCAAAAGAGTTGTGACTCTTTGGTGTGTGTGAAATAGAGGGTGGGAGAGAATTGAATTGGAGTTTTGAACTTTTAAGAGTTTTTTTTTTTTTTTAATGAAAAGTTGATCTAAACAGGTTTTGGCCTCCCAATCTATATTTCTTGAGCATAGATTTTAGGTTTGAGATTTTCACCTTGCAAGATGAGACTATTCAAGCTGTCTGGAATGAATTCTGTGAGAAATTTTTTATGTGGACCCTGGGTGGATCCCAATCCATCACTGTCAGGAGGGTACAGGGTGAGGTGAAGAGTGTTGGAGATTGGAGTTGTAAAGATCAACTAGTCACTCACCTCTTTTAATATACAAGGAACCAGACTAAATTGTCCAAAGTTGCAGAGGTAATTAGTGATAGAGTTACAGCTTGAATTCAGGTTTCCTGATTCTGCACCTAGGATCCTGCCTGTTCCACACAATGTAGCACAGAGACGATTTCCACCAGAGTGTTCAGTGTAGGAATCATCATCTCTATCATCAAAAGGCATTCAGTGGGACTCCACTGGCTTCTAATAAATAGTGATGCTGTGCATAAATGAAGAGAATCATAGACACATGTTTTTTAAGCTACAAGTTTAGAGAATAAAATTGTATTGATTTCAATAAGCTGCAATACAGTTCTGTATATTGTCAGTAAGAAAGAACATTGAGAACTTTTCTTCTTCAGTTTTGTTTGTCTGAAAATGTCTTTATACTATCCTTTTTTATATTTTATTTTTTGAGACAGAGTCTTGCTTTGTTGCCAGGTGCCAGTCTGGAGTGCAATGGCACGAGCTTGGCTCACTGCAACCTCTGCCTCTTGGGTTCAAGCAATGCTCCTGCCTCATCCTCCCAAGTAGCTGGGACTACAGGCGTGTGCCACCATGCCCAGCTAATTTTTTTTTTTTTTTTTTTTTAGTGGAGACAGGGTTTCACCATGTTGGCCAGGATGGTCTCGATCTCTTGACCTCATGATTGGCCCACCTTGGCCTCCCAAAGTGCTGGGATTACAGGCGTGAGCCACTGCACCCGGCCCATACTATCCTATTTTTTAAAGATAGTTTGGCCACATTTAAATTTTTGAAGTGGCAGCTCTTTTCCCTCAGCACTTCAAAGATGTTATTAAGTTATTTCTTCAGCTGTTAGTGTTGTCTGCTATCAGTCTGATTAGTGTTACTTCATAAATAGTTGATTGCTCTACTCTCGCCTTTTCACTTTTTGTCTTTGGTTTCTTTGCAGTTTCACCATGAGGGTTCAGTTTCGGCTGTGTTAATTCTGCTTGGGACCCATTACAGTTCCTAAACCCAAGGTTTTGTCATTCACCAATTGTGAAAACTTCACAGCTATGATCTCTTTCAGTATTGCCTCTTTCATTTCCTCCATTCTCTCCTTCCCCCTCTCTTGTCAGACATGCATTGGAGCATCTCATTTTGTTCTCCGTTCCGCTTAGTGTCACTTCCATGGCTTGCCTCTCTCTATCTATTCCTGCTTCATCCTTGATCATTTCTTCAGGTCTGTCTTCCACTTGACTGATTTTCTCTTCAGATTTCTAATCTACTGCTTTACTCATCAATTGTGGTATTCAGTTCTCAAAGTTCAATATGTTACTTCAACAAATATGTTTGTCCTGTTGTGTTGTTGGTAGGAGAGTGTTTTTCCTAATCCACTCTTCCTCTGGGAGTGGGTTCCTTTGGGGAAGCCCTACTTCGTATAGAGTCTGTTGCCCTCCCATTCCTCGCTCAGGTCCCAGGCTCATCTCTGATCTCTTCACAACTATTAAGATGAAAATCCTCTGCCACTGCCCTCTCATCCTCCATTCCCTCTTCTCACTGAAATTTCAGCCACCATTTACTATTTCATTCACAAGGAGAATGCCATGTGAAGGTGAAGTCAGTGATTGAGGTGATGGATGCATCCACAAACCAAAGAACACCAAATATTGCTAGCAAAGCACCAGAAGCCTGGAGAGAGGCTTGGAACAGAGTCTAACAGCCTGTCTTAGCTCAGCTGTACTGCTATAACAAAATGCTATAGAACAAGTAATTTATAATGAACAGAAATTTATTTCTTACAGTTCTGGAGGCTGGGAAGTCCAAGATCAAGACGTGAGGGGCATGGTCTCTGTCTGCAAGGTGCTGCCTGCCATCTTGCTGTATCCTCCTGAGAGGAGGAACACTGTGTCCTTAAATAGAGAAGGGCAGGTGCAAAGGGCAGAACACTGCTTGACACCTCTTTTCTAAGGGTCTTAATCCCATTCATGAGGGAGGAGCCCTTACAGCCTAACCACCTCTTAGAGGCTGCACCTCTTACTGCTATGGCATTGGCCATTAAGTTTCAGCACCTGGCATCTTCAAACTACAACATACCCCTTAGAGGGAACCAGCCCTGCTAACACTGTTGCAGGCTGCTAGTTTCCAGAATTGTGAGAGAACAAATTTCTGTTGTTCTAAGTCACCCAGTTTGTGGTAGGTAATGGCAGCCATAACAAACTAGTATAGGTAGGTAGGTAAATACGAAGAAAGGTAGATAAGAAGATAGGTGGATAGTAGGTAGAAGTCACCAGCTTTAAATGCATTAAATACAGTAAAACCATAGTGGCCACTGGTACTAAAAGACACACTATACGACCTTGCTTTCCTTGCTAACACCTGTCTGGTGGTCCAGAGTTCAGTCAGGCCCACTGAGCATGCAGTTATAGGCTGAGTGTGGGAGCAGCAGACAATTTCCATTTCCTAAACACTGTTAGAAGATTGTTACTAAAACACCATGGACTAAGCTCTCATTAGTTCGATTATTGGTGGGAATGAGCATTCAAGTGCCACCCTTTGATATGGCGGATGAGCAGAGACAACGAATATTGAGATGGGAGAGGAGTGGTTATGAGGATGAAAGCTGTTTCCAAGTAGGTTGACTATCATGAAACTTGAGCTTCTAAGACCAGCAGCTTCTGGGTTTGGGAATGCTGTTTTCCTGTTGTAGGGGAATGGGTAGTGTTGGGAGTCTATATCTTGTCTAACATAAATCTCTAGGGACTGGTTGCCATTTCCAGAGAATTTGGTTGTATCTACCTTAACCAGAGAACTAACTTGCTGTAGGAAATTAAAGTAAAATACTCACTTCTGTTTTTCATCTTATTAAGCACTGGATTATGGGCTGAAATGGCCCCAAATCTCACTCATTGCTTTTTCTTATTCCAACTTAATTTTGGTTCAGATTCTGATGTTTTATTCTGTCCCATGTTTATGATGCCCTTCCTGCCCTAGGTCCTGCCGCAGTGTGTGTGTTTTCTGACTTTTTGGCTTGGATACTTTCAAAGCTCGTGCATCTTTGGCTTACTCTGCTTCAGCATTCTTTGTGTATGATCCCTCACCCTCAGACACCAAGTCCTGGCTGACACAGCTGGCCTTGCCCTTTCTTTTACGTAACAATGTGAAAACTGAAGATCCCACTAAGCACTAACATAGGATAAACATGAAATTCCAGTGTGGTGCCCAATTACCTTAGAGTGATTCTTCAAGGGAAATGTAAAGAAACGGCTTCATGACCCTTGACCTCCTTACCCTTGACCCTTCTTAGGGGCTTGTGGGCAGTCCAAGAATGAAAATGAATAAAAATCTTGAGTTTCTTCCAGGGAATTCTGACCACCTAGCTAGTTATGAGAAGTAGATGACCAATATCATAAGCAAGAAGGTAATAGTAGCTTAAAACAATAGGCAAGGAAGTTAGAGTTAGCATATATTTGGCTCCCTATAAAAGCTAAAAATAATTTCTTAACATATGTTATTTTTCAGAAACCCAGGCCCCCATCACATGTATCTACTAGTGCACAGACCGCAGATGAGGAGGAACTGAGGACTGGGTTCTGCCCACTGTTCTTTGTTCTAAATTTCCTGAGAAGCCTGGAATTCACACCCATGAGCCAGATCTCAGTCTTTGCTGATCCTGCATTTTTAGACAAAGCTTTGTCTTCTTAACCAATTGCAAATCAGAAAATCTTTTAATCCATCTATGACCTGTGGGCCCCTGCTTAGAGATATCTTGCCTTTTTAGGTCAATCCAATGTATAACTTCCATGCATTGATTTATAACTGTGCCTATAACCTCTGCCTCTCTGCTTTAAAAACTTTTACCTGGCCAGGTAGGGTGGCTCATGCCTGTAATCCCAGTACTTTGGGAGGCTAAGGTGGGAGAATCATTTGAGCCCAGGAGTTAGAGATCAGCCTAGGCAACATAGGGAATCCCTGCCTCTACAAATAATTAAAAAAAATTAGCCAGGTGTGGTGGCACATGCCTGTGGTCCCAGCTACTTTTAAGGCTGAAGGAGGATCACCTGGGTCTTGGAGGTTGAGGCTGCAGTTAGCAGTAATCTCACCAGTGTACTCCAGCCTGGGTGACAGAGCAAGACTCTGTCTTAAAAACAAAAAACAAAAACAACTCTGACCTGTAAGACATTAGGGAGTTCAGGTGGTAAGCATTAGCTGCTGCCTGATCTCCTTGGTTGGCATCCTGCAATAAATGCCTCACTTCTTCCACTGCAGTCCCAATGTCAGTGTTTGGCCTTGCCTTGCCAAGCAGGCTGATCCAAGCTCAGTTTGGCAACAGAAGATGCCAGTCTGAGAAATTCTGATGTGGAAAGAAGGGCCAGATCCGGGCAGCCTTGGGATTAGCCTGCCTTCCCATGTCAGGGAAAAGGATGTCTGAGTGTGTGTGTGGACCAGATATAAGCCATGTAGGAGAGGGATCTGGCTTGGAGTGTTCAATAGGTCTGCGCAGAGGGCAGAGGGACCAAAGCAGCATACCCAGGGAGGAGACATCTGATTATTGGAGGCTAACGAAGATGTCACATGGCATGGAAAGGTTAGAATGGTGTGACCAGAAGGAGTGTGGTGCTTGTGACGTGAGTGCTCATGATGGGATTTTCATAGTTTATTGAAGTTGAATGAAGCAAAAAAAAAATATTCTTCTCTAAAATCCTGGGGATTTTAGTTAAAGCTAAAAGGTTAAAGTGCAAGGGCACAGTCTGCCTCTCCCGTCTGCCTTTATCAGCTCAGGCACAGAGCTCAGAGACAGCAGCACCATAGCATCTAGGAGCAGACTGTACTTTTCTCATAAATTTACCTTCCCACATTTTCCTGCCTGCTTCTTTGTCCTTGTCTCTATAGGATTTATGGCTCTTTGTTAAAGTACTGTTTAAATAAGACCCCTAAGCTGCTGCCTTGAGAGAGAAATACTTTCAGACTGACACAGGTCCCACATGATGGGTACAACACGTGTTAACAAACTTCTGTTTTTCTTTTGTTAATACAACTTGTTTTCAGGAGAGTGTCTTGACTAAGAACCTAAAAAGGAAATTATGTTTTCTCCCTTGAAACATGTTCCATGAATATGAGGAATATGTGGTTTCAATATTCACCAAGTCCAGAGAACACAAGGCTCACTTAGTCAGAACCAGTTCAAGTGAGACCTTCCCCACAACCTTCTGCCCAGGTTGTTGGGACCCCAGAGGGCTGTTCTATTTCACTGCTTTGTCTTCCACAGCTTTCTCGTGGTGAAGGAGGTAAAGACGTGTTTTCCTCACTCTTCACTAGGTTCATGGCTGAGGCCCTGTAACAAAAGACAGATTAACAAGAGGAAAGCATACAAATTTAGTACAAGTTTTGTAATATGGGAGACTTTAGCAATGAAAATTAAGAAAAAACACAGGTAAACTTGCGTATTTTTGTGCTAGGTTTGATGAAAAGGTTGTGGGGAAGTATAATTGGACAAAGAGCATAAGACCTAATGGTGACGACTTCGGGGTTCTTAGCAAAGTCTATCTGCCCAGATTCGTCTTGGCATCTCTGTGTCTTTGAGGATAAGGATGTTATTTGTATACCTTCAGGTATAGGATAGTGATATGGTTTGGCTCTGTATCCTCACCCAAATCTCTTCTTGAATACTCCCATAATTCCCATGTGTTGTGGGAGGGACCCATTGGGAGATAATTGAGTAGTGGGAGCAGATTCCCCCATACTGTTCTTGTGGTAGTGAATAAGTCTCATGAGATCTGATATTTTTCTCAGGGGTTTCCACTTTCGTATCTTCCTCATTCTCTTTGCCTGCTGCCATCCACGTAAGACAGGACTTATTCCTGCTTGCCTTCCACCATAATTGTGAGACTTCCCCAGCCACGTGGAACTGTAACTCCAATTAAACCTCTTTCTTCTGTAAATTGCCCAGTCTTTGGTAAGTCTTTATCAGCAGCATGAAAATGGAGTAATATAGTAAATTGGTACCAGAAGTGGGGTATTGCTGAAAAGATACCCAAAAATGTGGAAGTGACTTTGGAACTGGGTAAGAGGCAGAGCTTGGAACAATTTGGAGGGCTTAGAAGAAGACAGGAAAATCTGGGAAAGTTTTGAATTTCCTAGAGACTTGTTGAATGCCTTTGACAAAAATGCTGATAGTGATATGAATAAGAAGGTCCAGGCTGAGGTGTCTTAGATGGAAATGAGGAACTTGTACTAGAGCAAAGGTGACTTTTGTTATGTTTTACTGAAGAGACTGGCAGCAATTTTGCCCCTGTCCTAGAGATTTGTGGAACTTTGTACTTGAGAAAGATGATTTAGGGTATCTGGCAAAAGAAATTTCTAAGCAGCAAAACATTCAAGATGTGAGTTGGGTGCTGTTAACAGCATTCAGTTTTAAAAGAGACACAGAGCATAAAAGTTTGAAAAACTTGAAGCCTGATAAGTGATAGAAAAGAAAATCCCATTTTCTGAGGAGAAATTCAAGCCAGCTGCAGAAATTTGCACAAGTAATGAGGAGCCAAATGTTAATCCCCAAGGCAATGAGGAAAACGTACCCAGGGTATGTCAGAGGTCTTCATGGCAGCTCCTCCCATCACAGGTCCAGAAGCCTAGGAGGAAAAAGTGGTTTTGTGGGCCAGGCCCAGGGTTCCCAAGCTGTGTGCAGTCTAGGGACTTGATGCTCTGCATCCCAGCCATTCCAGTTGTGGCTGGCTGAAAGGGGCCAATGTAGAATACAGGCTGTGGCTTCAGATGGTGCAAACCCCAAGCCTTGGCAGCTTCCTGGTGGTGTTGAGCCTGCCAGTGCATAGAAATCAAGAACTGAGGTTTGGGGATCTCTGTCTAGATTTCAGAAGATGTATGGAAATGCCTGGATACCCAGGCGGAAGTTTGCTGCAGGGGTAAGGCTCTCATGGAGAACCTCTGCTAGGGCAATGCAAAAAGGAAATGTGGGGTCAGAGCCCCCACACAGAGTCCCTACTGGGGCACTACCTGGTGGAGCTATGAGAAGAGAGACACCATCCTCTAGGACCCAGAATGGTAGATCCACCGACAGCTTGCACTGTGCACTGGGAAAAGCCACAGACATTCAACACCACCCTGTGAAAGTAGCCAGGAGTGAGCAGCCAGGAGGAGCAGCTGTACCCTGCAAAGCCACAGGGGTAGAGCTCCCCAACACCATTGGAACCCACCTCTTGCATCAGCATGACCTAGATATGAGACATGGAGTCAAAGAAGACCATTTTGGAACTTTAAGATTTGACTGCCTTGCTGAATTCTGGACTTGTATGTGCTCTGTAGCCCCCTTTGTTTTGGCCAATTTCTCCCATGTGGAATGGTATTTACCCACTGCCTGTATCCCCATTGCATCTAGGAAATAATTATCTTGCTTTCTATTTTATAGAATAATAGGCAGAAGGGACTCGCCTTGTCTCAGATGAGACTTTGGACTGTGGATTTTTGAGTTAATGCTAAAATAAGACTTTGGGGGACTGCTGGGAAGGCATGATTGGTTTTGAACTGTGAGGACATGAGATTTGGCAGGGGCCATGGGTGAAATGATATGGTTTGGCTCTGTGTCCCCACCCACATCTCATCTTGACTTGTTCTCCCATAATTTCCATGTGTTGTGAGAGGGACCCAGTGGGAGATAATGGAATCATGGGGGTGGTTTCTCCCATACTATTCTCGTAGTAGTGAATAAGTCTCAAGATCTGATGGTTTTATCAGGGGTTTCTGCTTTTGTGTCTTCCTCATTCTCTCTTTGCCTGCTGTGACCAAGTATGATGGGACTTGCTCCTCCTTGCCTTCTGCCATGATTGTAAGGCTCCCCCTGCCATGTGGAACTGTAAGTCCAATTAAATCTCTTTCTTTCGTAAATTGCCCAGTCTCGGGTATGTCTTTATTAGCAGCATGAAAATGGACTAATACAGGTAAGCATATCTTGCATGAGGTTTTTATGGCCTGCTTGAGAGGAAGGTCAGAAAACTCTGTTTTATGGCCTGCTTTAGGGGAAAGGGCAGAAAAAGGTGCCTAGGTTTTGCTGTTTATTCAAGTGCCAAAGTGCTGTATTTTGCACTAGCATGTCCTGAAACCTATCATGATCTTAAAGAAACAGTCAACCTGTTTCATCAACAGACATATATGTCAATTATGAGGTGAGGTATATTCTCAAACTGCTTCTTACTAAAAGGAAAATGACTTTACAGTCAAATCTAGACAAGAGATTTTATGATAGGGCATTCTCTTTATTGTTTGATTTGTTTAGAAAAGATAATTTGTGAGGGCAGGCAAGTAATGCTATGATAACAATCTCAAAGTTTCCGTGCCTTAATATGACTTATTTCTTACTCATACTACATGCCCCCCATGGGTTGGCAGACTGCAGTTCCATACAGGAATCCAAGACAATAGAGGCTCCACCGTCTTGTAACTGCACCAAGTGGAATATGTGCCAATGGTACTAGAAACTTGCATGTGGAATTTTCCCTACCTTAGTTAGGAAGAGATACAATCATTGATTACCAAGTTTTATTGGTTAGAACTCTTCACTGAACTTCATCTAATTTCAAGGGGGCTGGGTATGGTGGCTTACACCTGTAATCCCAGCAGTTTGGGAGGCCAAGTTGAACAGATGGCTTAAGCCTAGGAGCTCGAGACCAGCTGGCCAACATGGTGAAACCCTGTCTCTACAAAACAAACAAACAAAAAAACCCACACAAATTAGCTGGGCAAGGTGGTGTGTGCCTACGGTCCCAGTTACTTGGGAGGTTGAGGCAGGAAGATCACCTGAGCCCAGGGAGGTCGAGGCTGCAGTGAGTTGTGATTATGTCACTGCACTCCAGCCTGGGCAACATTAACAGAGTGAGACCCTGTCTCAAAGAAAAAAAATGCAAGGGAGCTGGGAAGTGTAGGGAAAGAAATGTATTTGTTGAGTATTATACTCTGCCACAAATACATTAGCCCAATAGTTAATGTTAATTTGTAACATGTAATACTGATCTGCTAACAGAATTGTTTTTAAAAAGGGGAAGTAGTATCTTTTACACAGATTTAGTTAGGTATTTTTGTAAACAAAAGTTTTAAAGATCACTTAAAAAGCGACATAATGAGTGGTTACATTTATTTTCAACCATACACTGAGGATAAATTTTAAAATCACTTTCTTAATGTTATACAAACAGGTACTGAAGACCTAAAATAAAGTATCCACTGACAGCATCATACATAGATTCAGAAAGATATCTATTTTCTGATAACTAAGGCAGAAGTGAAAGTGTTTTACTCTAGAAAAATATGAGCCTAGAAAAAAAGCAGCACTTCTAAATTAATTTCTTTCTATATATTTTTAAGTTTATAAAGCAAGTTAATTATAAGTACATAGTTGACTACTTTACCAATAATCCTAAAGATAACAAATGAAAGTTATCCTTAGGAAGCTTTTTAAACTTTTCTTATAAGATAAAAGGTAAATATTGCCTTGAATTTGTGCTCGCATGGTTTATAAAATGAATGAAATAGACTACAAAAGAGACTTCTAACAAATTGATTTCAGGTAACAGCAATATATATTTAAGCATTCTAGAATCTGCTTAAGTTCACCTGAATAAAGTAAGGTTATGTAAGTTGAGCTTATATTCTGAACCACACAATCTAGTATCGGCTATATACTGTCTTGAATTTTTGCTCCTGCTGCACTTTAGATTGCCAAGTCTTGCCCTCACAAAATGATTATAAACACATGGGCAGGAGTCAGGCTTCATCTAGTTCAATTGTCTTTTAACCCACAGGAGCCCTAGCCCTAGCACTGTCCTGAGTGTTGAGCAAGCCCTATTCTATTAACATTTTTGAGGTATTTGCAGTGGCTGCTACTGACAGTTTGACAAAAGCAGCAGCCTGTGTAGCCTCAGCCATTTTGGATAATGAATAAATTTCTAAATAGGTGGTCAAATTGATTGCCCATTAATTTAAAAATGCCAAATGGCACACATTTTTATTATCCTATTATCCTTCTCTTCTCCCTTCTCATTTCACATTTTTCTTAACATATATCATGCATTTTGAATATTTGCCCTCCTGCATAACTTTTCTTAAAGGAAGAAAGAAGTGAATATTTTTAATGATGACTTAGCACGTTTTGTTTTTTAAATTGTAAGGTACAGAAAAAGATCCAAGTATGTTTTAAAATAAAAATAAAACCATGTGATTTCTGTGACTAAGCAAAATAAATCATATTTGATGCAAGTCATCCTGTTCACATGAACAAAAAACCTTTTTTATTTATCAATTTTTAAAATTTACCAACAAATCAATGCTTATTTAATGTAAATAGTTTGAAGAAAGCTTCTTTAGAAGCATCTAAGAGTCACTGGTGGAGGGGCGTGACTGCAAGTTGTCTAGCTCATGGCATTTTGAACAAAGAATTGGACAAAATGCTCAGGAAAGCAAGAAAGAATGAAGTAACAAAAGAATGAAAGTGGGGATTTATTGAAAACAAAAGTACACTCCACAGTGTGGGAGCAGGCCCCAGCAGTGGCTCAAGAGCCTAGATACAGAATCTTCTTGGGTCCAAATACCCCCTAGAAGCTTCCCATTGACTGCTTCATTCTCACCTCATGTAAATGAAGTGGTATCCCACAGTCAGTCTGATTGGTTGCAGAAAGCAGCCAACCAGAGGCTGAAGTGAAGGTACAAAGGTCACAGTCTTGTGCGAACATCTGATTGGTTGCAAAAAAGCAACCAAGTAGAGGCTAGGATGAAGTTACAAGGTTATACTTCTGTGAAAATGAGGATTTGGCCCAAAATCAGTCTGATTAGTTGCAGATAGCCAGTTTCCCGTCTGCAGTGCAGAAAAGGTCAAAGGGGGTAGCCTCTGTTCCTTTTGTTACTTCGTGTGGAAAGTTAAGGTTTTCCTTTCAATTTAGTTCTAGGAAGTCAGTGTGAAAGAGCCTTAGGTTCCCTGCTTCCAGACCCTATTCTCCTGCCTCATCACGCCCTTGAGAGACGTGATCCCCATAAATCTTTATGGGAGGCAGAGGGACTGAAGGTCTTTCTTCTGTAACTGCTTCCTGCTGACTTGGGAAGTAGTCTCTACCTTTTGGAGATCATGGAATTCTCACCCTATTCTGTCTAGTGGAGACAGGTGGCTCCTTGATGGCTGGGGGGGTGGTGCCTTCACCTGGAGCTGGCTGGAAACCTTGTCACATGATCATCTGAAGCGTGATGGTCTCTAGTAAAGAGGAAAGGAATTCTGTTGAAAGATTTAATGAAAATTTTGGGAGTGGATACCTATGCTGTCAGAAATGTTTGTTATAGAAATAAAACATTCTGCTTAATTACTACAAAGGAAGTGATTCCATCCATTTGGAAGAAAGCAATTAAACTGCAAACATAAAAAATGGCTACTATTATCCAGCCTACAGTAATATGCAACAAAGACACCAAGGAAAGTTAGTGGGCATTTGCTTATCTCTTGGCTGTCTTCCAAACAGGTACTTCGAGTCTTCCACATGTTCACAGGTGTAGAGGCTGATGGGAGCTTCAAGTTTCAGGTCTGGAACTTCAGGTATCACAGACTTGATCCCTGAAAGGTGTATTCAGCTATCTAATCCTAGTACTTTGACCACAGAAGGTGTGACTAGTATTACTGAAAATGGCCCCTTCTATTTGGGTTGTAATTGTCGAGCAGGTGATCCCTCCTTCCATATTTTTACAAGTACCTTATCTCCTGGCCTGATTTTGGGTTGCTGGTTAGTTCCCAGTGTGGGGATCCTTTGAATTGCAAACTTCTGTAAAGCCTGTTGAAATTGTCGTAGGTTGACTAGGTATTTTACTAAGCTGGCTGTTTTTGGGTCAGTAATTAAATCAGTAGTTAAACATGGCCTTACATTTAACATTTTGAATGGACTTACATTAATTTTTGTTCTAGGGGTATTATGGATCCTTAAGAGGGCTATAGGCAGTAGGTTGACCCAAATTTCTGATGTTTGCTGACATAGTTTAGTTAATACTCATTTTAGAGTTTGGTTAGCCTTTTCTACTTTCCTGGAGGAATTGAGGCCTCCATGCTGAATGTACATAGTATTTTATACCAAGAGCCTTAGCAACCTCTTGAGCTATCTGGGAGATAAAGGATGGGCCGTTATAACTTTGGAGGCTCTGAGGTAACCCAAACCGGGGGATTATTTCTTTTAAGAAAAACTGTAACATCATAAGCCTTCTCTGTTCTGGGAAGATAAGCTTCAACCCAACCAGTAAAGGTATCTATTAGCACTAACAAAAACTTATGTCCTCTGTAAGCTGGCATATGGGTGAAGTCTAATTGCCAGTCTTCCCTGGGTAAGTTTGTCTCCTCTGCACTGGTTCTATTAGAGGAGGCATTTTGTTTTCTGGGTTATTAAGTGCACATAGTGAGCAGGCTTCTCAGACCTTCGGAGCCACTGAAGCTGAGTTAGACCTGGTGAAGAGCTTATTTCCCATGGCTAGAGTTGCATCCTCTCCATAGGGAAAGAGGCATGCAGGGCTTTTCTAACTTTCCACTGGACTGTCTGAGAGAGATGTGTTTGACCCCATATACCACCAGGGTCCTTGTTTTTGTCCCCTTTGTTCCTTTATTAGCTGTTCTTACTTTGGGTATACTCAGGTTCTATTGAGGAACTATAGAAAAGGAGCAGTGTTAGGATCTGTTGGGATTTCAGCCTGAAGGCTGTGGCTTTGTCTTCTCTGTCAGCCTTGCTGTTCCCTTGTGCTATAGGGGTTAAGCCCCTTTGGTGCCCCCTACAATGAAATATAGCCACGGCCTTTGGCAAGTGTATTGCTTTTAATAGCTGAAGAATCAGGCCCATGCTTTATAAGGGAGTATTTCCTAGTTAGCAGCGCCCTTTCCTTCCAGATTGTAGCATGAGCATGACCCATAAGGAATCCATATTTAGAATCTGTATAGATGTTAAGCTTTTTTCCTTGTCCCAACATTAATGTTTAAGTGAGAGCAATGATTTCAGCCTTTGTGCTGATGTGCCAGGGAGCAGTGGCTGGGCTTTGATAATTGTGTTATGTTTTACTGCTGCATATCCAGCTTGGCACTCCCTATTTGACACAAAACTACTGCCATCTGTGAACTAATCATCCTCAGAATCTGGAAGAGGCTGGTGTTTTAGATCAGGTAGGCTAACATATGTGTGAGCAATAACCTGCTCACAGGAATGATCAGTTATCGGACCTGGGGGCAGCAATGAAGCTGGATTCAGAGAGGTTTTAAGGGTTACATCTGAATTGTCTAGGAGCATGGCCTGGTATTTGGTTTACTTTCCCCCATCATCCAGATGTGTCCCTTTATCTCTAAGACTGACTTTACCTGGTGCGAGGTTAGAATTTTTAGTGGTTTGCCCAGGGTGATTTTAGTGGCTTCCTCCACTAATGTAACAGTGGCTGGGATTGCCTGCAGCCAACTTGGCCATACTGAGACTATCCCATCCAACTTCTTTGAAAAATAGGAAGTTGGTCTGGGTTTTGAGCCTAATTTCTGGTCTAGTACTCCTACAGCTATGCCCTTCTTCTTTGCTACATACAAAAGAAGGGCTTAGTTAGATCTGGGATGCCAAGAACAGAAACTGTGTGAGAGCCTGTTTTAACTTGGCAAAGGCTCTCTCATCTCCAAGGTCCATTCTACCAGCTCATTTTCAGGCCCCCTTATTGCTTCATACAGGGGTTTTGCTATGATCCCAAAATTTGGTACCTATATTCTGAAAAACCCGGCCATTCTCCAAAAAAGAATGAAGCTACTGCTTGGTGTGTGGGGGCCCTCAGACCACATACGGCTTGCACTTATTCTGGGGATATTTGCTGGGCTCTGGGTATTAAGACATACACTAAATATTGGACCAGTTGGAGGGTGATCTGCGCCTTCTTTTTTCCCGTCTCCCAGGAAATTCAAAGCTTTTACAGTATTTTGGTCAGAAACCTCCCAAGTTGCACTACACACAAGAAGGTCATCACATGCTGGAGTATACTCCCATTTTCCAATTGTGGATCCCTCCTCATATCCCTCTCTAAGGCCTGGGCAAAGAAATGGGGCCTATCCCCAAAAACTTGAAGGAGCACTCTCCAAGGGTATTTCTTTTTTCACTGGTATTAGGGTTTTCCTGTTTGAAGGCAAAAAGGTGTTGGGACTCTGGGGCCAGAGAAATGAAGAAAAAAAGCATCTTTTAGGTCTAGGACTGAGAATCATTTTGCATCCCCTGACACCTGAGCCAGGAGGGTATCTGGATCTGCCACAAATGGGTGGGTGGGGATGACAGCCTCATTAATTACTCCTAACTGGTATTCCCCTGAAGGCCTTAGAACAGATAAGATGAGGATATTGCAGGGGATTTTCAGAGCCCATGGATAAGTAATACTTCAACTATGGGCATTAGGCCTTTTCTTGCTTCCTGCCTAAATGGGTATTGTTTTCTATAGGGAAAGTAGCTGGGGTCTTTAAGCTGTATTTTGACTGGCACTGCTCTTCTATTCTTCCCCAGTTTTCCACTATACCATGCCAGCAGGTTACCCTGTTTTTTTTAACGTGGTCTGGGACATTGTTCAAGCAAGGAATCAGGTGGAATAGGTGGAGAGTTGCCCATAGTGATCTAGAAAAGAGACTTTGAAAAGTGGAGGGCTCACTAGGTGACCCAAAATTCACCTAGGGCATTTCCCTGGAAAAATTATGGACCCGGATTAGGGTCCCTGGGGGTGTCCCCCCTTTAGGGCACCGACTTAGTCTGTTGGATGTCGCCAACCTTAGATGGGTGCCAGCACTGCTTCGGAATGATTCCCTCCATCACTGAGGACATACTGTGAACTTTTTCTATCCCACTTAAAGCAACTCTGACTCTCTCAACTTAGGCAACAATAAATCCACCCTTCCCCCCACCATGCACCACACAGACCACCTACGACATGCGCGGGCCATCTGATTTGTTTAACCTTTTTGCATAGCTAGGTGGGTTTTCTGTACTTAGCCAGTTGAGTGGGGGAAGGGAAGAATTTAGCATAAGAAGGGGTTTAAGTCACCTGAAACATATGTGAATTTGCCCTGAATGAGCTGAGATGCTACAGCCAACTGTATCACACGTAGCGTTCCGGGTCTATAACATGAAAGGTTACAAAAGAGTCTTTCCCCCATCCGGGCAGTGCAGCCATCCCTATTTGCTTCTTGGCCTTCAGAGAACGCCAGAGAGCAGCCTTGCACAGTTTACCTCAATTACCAAGGAGCTACTAGGAAATGGCCACTGAAAGACTGAAAAAGGAGAAAAGGAAAAAAAATCTCAGAAAAAAGAAAAAAGAAAGGACTCAGAAAAACAAAAACAAGAAAAAGCACTCAGGTCCCTGTAAGGGTAGCTGAGAGAAAGGAGAATAGACCCAAAGTCAGGCAAGAAAGTTTTATTAACCGGCCACGCTGCTCCATGACAATCAGAGGAGGCAGCCCTGAGCTTATAATACGACGGGTTTATATAGGGTGAGAGGGGCACAAGGAGGTTTTAGGACTGAGGTAATCTATTCACTGGCAACAGGCACAGAGATAGTTTGTTAACTTGTAACAGACCTACAATACATTATCCTGTGACTTTTGTGGTGGCACTCTTTAAAAAAAAAAGAGAGAGAAACCAGGAGTTTTTTTTTTTTTTTACAGATATGTGTCAAACGGGAATTTACAAGTATGGATAACCAACATATGTTTTCCCTGTCCTCCCTCGAGCTGCCTGGATGGCTGCAATCAGGTTTTGCTTAATTGCAGCACATCTGGCAGCCCTGATGTGGTGCCTAGACAGGGTTTAGGAATGCAGCTGCAGGCAATCAAAGTGGGGAAGGGGTCAGCCTGCATGGAGGGGGTTTTCTTGTCCTTAACAGTTCCTCACCTGAACTGGGTGGTAGCAGTCAGGTGCTTCCACGTGGAAACTTTTAGTTTCACCAGAGAGTGGCCCTGGCCAGAAACTTAGTTGCCTCCATGCTTAAGTGCTGTCCACGAGGGTACTGAGTTGGAAAGGGAGAGACAGAAAGTTTTTTTTTTAATTGCATTTTAGGTTTTGGGGTACGTGTGAAGAACATGCAAGATTGTTGCATAGGTACACACATGGCAGTGTGATTTGCTGCCTTCCTCCCCATCACCTATATCTGGCATTTCTCCCCATGCTATCTCTCCCCAACTTCCCACCCCCTGCTGTCCCTCCCCTATTTCCCCCCGACAGACTCCAGTGTGTGATGCTCCCTTTGTAGGGACATGGATGAACCTGGAGACAGAAAGATTTTAAAGGAGAAAAATAAATTCCCGACTTTGGCCTACCTTTTCTCCTGGCTGGATTGCAAAGATATGTCACTGGTAGAGGGTCCTTACTGCAAGTTGTCCAGGTTCTTGGCATTTTGAACAAAGAATTGGACAAAATGCCCAGCAAAGCAAAGAATGAAGCAACAAAAGAACGAAAGCAGGGATTTATTGAAAATGAAAGTACACTCCACAGTGTGGGAGCAGGCCCGAGCAGTGGCTGGAGGGTCTGGATACAGAATCTTCTTGGTTCCACATACCACCTAGGTGTTTCCCATCAGCCACTTCATGCTCACCTCATGTAAATGAAGTGATAGCCTGCAATCAGTCTGACTGGTTACAGAAAGCAGACAATCAGAGGCTAAAGTAAAGTTACAAAGGTCACATTCTTGTACAGACATCTGATTGGTTGCAAAAGGCAGCCAATCAGAGGCTAGGGTGAAGTTACAAGGTTATACTTCTGTGCGAATGAAGACTTGGCTTGCAATCAGTCTGATTGGTTGTAGACAACAACCATGCAGGGGCTGGAGTGAAGTTGCAAAGTTTTAAATGGAAGACTCAACCCGCAATCGGTCTGATTTCTTGCAGATAGCTTATTTTCCATCTGTGGTGCAGAAAAGGGGAGGAGTTTGCAAAGGAGTAACCTCTGTTCCTTTTGTTACTTAGGTGTGGGAAGTTAGGGTTTTCCTTTCAGTTTAGTTCTAGGAAGTCAGTGAGAAACATCCTTAGGTTCCCTGCCTCCAGACCCTATCCTGCTGCCTCATAAAGATGACTTCAAGAGAGACAGACGGCCGGGTGGAGGGGCTCACACCTGTAATCCCAGCACTTTGGAAGGCCAAGGAGGGAGGATTGCTTGAGCTAAGGCATTCAAGACCAGCCTGGGCAATATAGTGAGACCTTGTTCTACTAAAAATAAAAAAAAAATTAATTGGGCATGGTGCCACATGCCTGTGTGGGAAGACTGCTTGGGCCCAGAAGATCAAGGCTAGAGTGAGGTATGATCACACTGCTGCACTCTAGCCTAGGGGACAGAGTGAGACCCTATCTCAGGAAAAAAAGAAAGTGAAAGAGAACACTGTTTAATGAATAAATACCACCTGTGCTTAATGCTGATGTAAACGCTGTATAGTAATCTATGGATTTCCCCCCACATTTACTTAATGAAGGTAAGAGAATTTTGAGAGAATTTGGGATATTAGAAAATACATTCAGAAATAGGAAATGCAACACCACACAGTCCTTTCTGCCTGCATATGTGTTCACAATTCCATAACGGCTTTTTTTTTTTTTGAGACGGAGTTTCGCTCCATAACGGTTTTAAAAAGGGAAAGAAAGTAGTCCTTCCAGAGAATTGATTGGTTCCACATGTTGCCAGGGTTCAGGGATCACATAAAAACAGAAGCTGGTGCTGAAATGGGCCACACCAAGACTCTAATCCCAATTATATAACTAACCCTGTGACTTTGGACAATTACTCAACCTGTTTAACCTGTTTAAGCTGCATTTTTCATCTGAAGCTTAGGAATAGGGTTATAAGACAAAATATAGGGTATCCAGTGAAATTTGAATTTCACTAAAACACTGAATAATTTTTTAGTATGGAGTATGCACTACTAGCAAAGCACATAGAAGTATGCAACAGTATACAATAACTTTTTCTCTGAAATTCAAATTTAACTGGGCATATTGTATTTTTATTTCTTGTATCTGGCAACACTATGAAGGAATAAAAATCCTCACTCTAGCATTTAGGTGGGGACTCAATAAAATAAGTCAATTGTCTAGAGACTGTACTAAAAGGCTCTGCAATTTTTTTAAACCTCATTTAGTATTGAAACAAGTTCAATGAAAAATGGAAAATTATCTTCATTTTCCAGAAAAATGGAAAATTATTATCTTCAACCTTTCCAAAAAATGTTGAAATTCAGAAATTTGTCCCAAGTTACATAGTCATAATGTCAGAGCAAAGATTCAAGAGGGAGCTATTTAACACCAAGGCCTGGAAGCTTAACTTGGTGACAGTGGTTCTTAAACTTCAGCATGTTTCAGAATCATCAGAAGAGCCTCTTAAAACACAGATCACTGAGCCCAGCCCATGAGTTTCTGATTCAGTTGGTTTGGAATAGGGTTCCATAATTCATATTTTTTTACACATTCCAGGTATTACTGATGCTGCTGGTTTAGGGACTAGTTTGAGAACTGCTGTCTTCTATTGTCCTGTGATGTGACATCAGTGCCAGTGCTTGGCACATGTAAGTGTCAGCTACATGATGCCACTCACCCTGAGCTACCAAAAAATGTGCCCACTTATCACTTATTGGCTTTTAAAACATTATTATGAAGCAGACAGTAGTAATGAAAATATGCAACCCCATAAGCAGTACTTCGAAAGCCTTGATCTTTTTAAGGCCACAAATGCCTTTCCTGCTGCTTCTTCTGACTCTGGGGAACTTCTCTCTAGTATTGTCTTTGAAAGAAGCACCATTTCCCAGAGATAACCAATAATTGGAAGAAACACCAGTTGGAAATAATAAAAACATGATTTTATTTAGTCCCTTCCTGTTTCTTGAAAATTTATTCAATGGGGAAATTTTTTTCTCTGGCCGCTGAGTAAAGATTTAGGCAAACTCATAACTTTTCTTCTCTTTTAGCTAACAGACTGTCCAAAGGTCACTTTAAGTCACACACACACACATGCACACACACACACACACAACCTCACTTTAGAAATTAGACCATCTAGCCCCCTAGTTAACACACTATTTTTTCCTCTCACTCACCTAAAATTTCTTTAAAAAGCCCCAAATTACGATATTTAAAATTTATAAATTATTATTTATCACACCCTAAAAATGACATTGATACTGATATCATTTCTAGCATGTCCACTAATTTTTAGATGGCAAACAACATTAACAGCTGGTTACTACATCATCACTTGGGGCTGCAATATTGTGACATATATATTTGACAAATAGCTTCTAAAACCCTTGGAATATCCAGAAAGATAAGGATGTCTTTTGTATGCTAATGAGGTAACTGGTGGTAGAGAGCCCCTAGGTAGTAGCTTCAGGATGAGGCTGGTCACTGCAAGACCAGGCATGATGAGAGGGTTGGTGACTTTCAGCTCCACCACCAACCTCTGGGGAGGGGAGAGGGACTAAGAGTTAAAGGTTGAGTTGATCATCAATGGCCAGTGATAGAATCACTTATGCTTATATAAGGAAGCCTCCAGGAAAACCTAAAAGGCAGGGTTCTGGGAGCTCACTAATATCTGAACACACAGAGGGTTTCTGAAGGGTGGCACGCCTGGAAAGGGAATGAAAGCTCTGTGCCCCTTCTCACATACTTTGCCCTGTGTATCTTTCCATGTTGCTGTTCATCTGTGTCCTTTGTAATATCCTTTATGATGAATGGGTAAATATAAGTAAAGTGTTTTTCTGAGTTCTCTGAGCTGCTCTAGCAAATTAACAGATCTTGAGGAGGGGATCATGGGAACCCCAATTTATAGCTGGTCAGTCAGAAACACAAGTCACAACCTGGGGTTTGTGATTGGCACCTGAAGTGAGGGGCACTCTTGTCAGACTGAGCCTTTAACCCATGGGGTCTGAAACTATCTCCAGGGAGAGATTGTCAGAATTAAACGATTGGCCACCTAGCTGGTATTCACTAGAGAAGTACTTGGTATGTGTAGAACTATCCCCAGCATTTGGTGTCAGAAGTATTGAGGGAGTGAGAGTAGAAAAAAACACCTTTGGATTTTTTCCCTATCTTTTATGAACAGAATTGGTATTAGGCCCTGAAAAATAGTGGTCTACATTGCTGGCTTTGGGACTCACAGTTTTCTCGGGAGGTCTTTGTAAACATTCTCTCAGATTCACATAGGCCAGAATTTGATGCCAGAATCATGAGTGAACTAGGCCAAGAGGCAGTTCTATTTGTACAAAAGACATTGTGGTACCAGAAAATAGTCCCCATGACATAGCTGCAGAGCTTTGTGTCCCCACAGTGTTACCAAACTGAATTTCAGTCTACCTGCCCGGTGCAGCAAAGACAGACACTGAAATTGGGATTGCAGTGACAGAAAGTAAAGCATTTATTGCAGGGCACCAGGAGAATTGGGCAGCTAAGGCTTAAGACCCAAGCTCCCCAATGGCTTACAGGTAAGGGTTTTAAAGGTGAAGAGGCAGAGGTTACAGACAAAAGTCATAAATCAAAACATGGGGGCTATACATTGGTTTGGCCTAAAAAGACAGGGGCCTGCAGGTCATAGTAGATTCAAAGATTTTCTGATTTGCAATTGTTTAAGGAGGCAGAGATTTGTCTAAACGTTTGGGATCAGCAGAAAAGAACGTGAGCTCTGGCTCATGGGTGTGACCTCCTCCAGGTCACTCAGGAAGAAATTTAGAACAAAGAACAGAAAATCAGAGCTCAGTTTTCAGTTCCTCCTTATCTGATGTCTACACACCAGCAGATCTATTTAATATGGGGCTAGGTTTATGAAAAATAACTTGGGAACATACATTGATATGTTTTCTTTAGTTTCTATAGGTAACCAAACATTCCCTGACTCTGAACTTTTTGGCTATTGTTTTTCGATTTCCTCTGTGCTTATTATGAAGGTGCTTATTTACTTTACAGGGCTAGCTAAGTGCCTGGAATTTCTCTTAAAGAAACTCAAGATTTTCCCTTATTTGCATGCTTAGAGTAGGGGGTAGCTGGTAGGCTTCTAACAGGGGTCTTTACTCTATCTCAGTTCCCCCTGCCTCTTGTTACCCATCAATCCTGATGGGTAGGAGGATGCTGGCTGCTGCGGCTACTTCCTGCTGAACTGGGATGAAGATTGGAGACTAGGATATGAGGAGGGAAAGTTTCTAACTCATCTGAAGAGGAAGGCATTATAATGACGTAGAGCCTCAGTATTTTTCAGCAAATTTCTTTGAGATAGTTCCAACAGAGGGGACTTCTAAAATAATGGAATTCTCTTTTGTACTATTTTTGGGGGGCCTTCAGGATATGACAGTTTAATGAACTGGTGCACTCTTGTTGTATTAACTGAGTCGGATGACAGCTACATGTTACCTCTCTTTGTCAATGACTGAGAAATCCTAAACATCGAGTTGTCCTTTTAATATGGGGGGATCAAAGTCCATAAGGAAGCATAACAAAAAAGGCAATCATGTCAATAGTTCAATGTGAGCACTTGAAGAAATTAAGACCCCCATAGCAGCACATAGAATCTGCTTAGCCAGTAATAGAAAAAATAAGAAAAGCAATGACAAATAATATTGCAAGTATGTTGGTGTATCTCTATTACTTGTTTTTAGGAGTCTGTCTTCTGAATAGCAACTTGAGATCTGT